CCACACCAGGAGGATTTGTCTTTACTGCAGTCAAAACTAGAATATAGATTTAAAAAACTGTTAACACCAATTAATATTGCTCAAAATGAATATTTTGTGAACAGAATCTGGATTAAAAGTAAAAATAATCAAATTATTGTTAAATTCTTACCAGTCACACAGTTTCAGTTTAATTCATTTATTTTGTTGAATCTTTTTTCTCATTATAAAGAKTCTGACAACAGTTCATTTTTATTAGCTTAGTTTAAAGTGGTTTGCATAGAAAGGAGCAGATGGTGAGTGTGAACTGATCCTGTTTCACRCTCACATTACTTCAGTCTGTTTTATCTGCTTTAAGTTTTAGATGTAACTGTTACCAGCAGGCCCAGTAATCCCAGATATCAGTAAAACATCATTCACGTTTAGCTTTAAAGCCTATGGTTGTAAGTGTTCCTGCTTGTTTTTGTCCTCTCCAGGCGTTACATCAGCTCAGGCAGCAGCTGTCTGAACACAAGCGATACAAGCAGCAGCTTCTGATTGACAGGCACAGGGTCCAGCTGCAGCARCGGCACAAGTTAGACAGCGTGAGCACTTTACTTTCTGACCTCACCTCTTTTAAAAGTCATGAAGAACAAGGAATTATTGAAAAAAGGTTGATTTCTTTCAAAATCTGAACTGGTTTCAAATCATTTTACAGAAGCAGCAGATGACAGACTGTCCCTAYCAGTGGGCGGAGCTTCAGGAGGTGTTTGTAGGGGAGGAGTCAGATCTTCATGACAACAGAATCTTACTGGATGAGAAAAACCAAAAGCGTGACAGGAGACAGGTAATGTTTAAAACCATTTTACAGCCCTGAAGAAAAATGCAGTTTAAATTAATTTTTAAAACGAGCAGACCTGTGATTACCTGTGATACATTATTTAAATATTAATTTAACACACCTTTCCAGTGTCAACCTTTRTCATCAAGCATCAACAGGCACATGATGACTGTTTTTATGTTGAAAAAGATCAATATATGATCTTTGTTGTGGCTAAAATTTGAACTTTAAAACCTCATGACTGATGTTTATACAGACAAACTGTTCTGTGTGAAAACTGTCATTTATATTTCACATGTAATTATTAAATATGTTACAC